CCTTAAATGAATTAAGAAACATTAATATTTTGAAGAAAAAAAAAGAGGGCGCACTGCTAGAAGTCAAAGAACTCAGTTCGTTCCAACTATTTGAGTAAAATACTAAATATTGATTGTGAGTTTGACAACATAAAACTCCTAAAGGAACGAAGATGCACTTGAGGCGGAATTGAAGCATCAATTTACAATGATTGTCAAGCAAATGATCTCGCATCTTGTTATTTTACGCTGGAGTTATTAGAACAAGATTGAACGTATTGAAATAACACCACTGCGGACGAACGCCATAGCCTCAGGCATTGCCCTGGTACATGACTTTCCTTGTGACCGCCTGGGTCAGGTTTGCTGTCAACATTGTAGGTCATGTCAGAACGGAATGGGATCGCGGAGGCGGTCTGTAAATTGAACTGGAGGAACGTCCTTCTTCAATTCTACTTGGGGCATTAAAGACATATGCCAAAAGTACATCCTGGAGAAGGAATGGCGTCTTGTTTAGACACTTTTAAACGTCTTGATAACACACAAACTGAATACTCTAGGTCCGGACGGCGTGTTGGATTATAACCTGATTGCTAGGTGCAAGAGTATTTGGGCCGAAGTTGGGTTCATAATCAATTTGCAATGTACAGTATGCCGCAATATCTACGGTTTCGACTTTTTCAAAACTGTCCAACAAAACCTAGCCAAAAAGCGACTTTTTTTTAAAGTCAGAAGTCTCATAGCATATCTCTAGGTTTTCCTTTTTCAGATGACTTAAAACAGGACAGTGTAAGTTGCTAAAAAAAAATGCCCACGCACCATGGCACTCGCGCGACATAAAGAAAACGGAACAGAAATTTTAAATGCAAATGGTTCGTGCTTCTCCCATCAACAATGAGTTCAATAAAATATCAACAACTCTCCGAATAAACGCAGCATTGGTTCTGACTTATCACAACTAGAGCTGTGAATGTTATGGGTATATAGGAGTACTTATTTCGTTATTTCAAACCACACAAAGAGCTCGGAGTTTTCTCGATCTCATTAGTATGTGCGGCTGGCTTCGAATAAACATGTTACATCTTTAATATGACACGAGAATGCATCGTTTCCCTTGGGACGGTGGTGTGATTTTTTTTCGTACAGCAAGCCAGACGCTTATCCCCACACGATACTGCGCCGGGTGCATCCTTGCAAAGACTTGCCACAAGTCTCCTCGTTGGATTTTGTTTTCTATCATTGCACAAAGAAGCGATTTCACAGCTGCCAACCTACCGTATCGAACATCATCCTGGCACTCATGGCATTTCTAGAGGTGCCTCTGGTCTATGTTTTTGTATCTTTTACAATAATTTGTTTCGGCAACCAATGGAAGCATAGGACCTCGGCAAGTCTTTCCCGGGTCTCTATACGCCTGCAAGAGCACGCAAGCCCAGCCTCCCTCTTCAGTCCACCTTCCGTGGCCGTCGGGTCGTTGTTGATACGCCGGTCCAGTAACTTGACTTTCATCGCTGGGAGTGGATATGTTTTCTCAAGCCGCCATTTGGGAAAGGGTGTCGGGTATCCGAAGAAGAACCCACCTGCCTCTAAGAATCCCACAAGATGAATGCAAGCGATCCCCCTGATTCCCCGTAGTCGTGTCTGTCCTCAGGATGTCATCATATCGGACGTTTGTGTAGTAAACATTATTTTCGAGGCTTGACATGGTGATACTGATAGCCGTGATTACGAGTTATACTCAAGTAGGACATCTTATCCTACCATGGATATTCACATCAGGGAAGAAGAACCAATCTCCGCGGCCCTTCAGATCTTGCGGCAATTGTGCTTTGTCCATCGTTAGCAGAAATGCCGGTAGAGCGCAAAAAACCTACGTTGTCTTTTTCAACAAGATGAAACAGTACACTTTTTATAAAGCTTTCTTGTGATTTTTTTTCTGAGTACGTTCCAAGATGTTCAGGTAACGGTCATAATAAGGAAGGTGCTGGGCAAGTGGGGCATACACAGATATCGTCTACCGGCCACTTTACAAAAAAAGCCCTACAATCTGCCATGTTCGGAAATGGCACCCTTGCCTCCAGTTAATTAAATAACAACATATACACGTGTAATGACGGGCTACTGTGAGGAGCTGACTGCGGGTTGATCAGCTGGTATCTCTTCAAATCTAACTACACTTTTATTTAGATGTGTCGATTTATTCCAATGAAGGTTCTTTCTCTACAACCCAAAGATGGTATCGTTAGTGCGCCCTCCATCGCTTCAGTTATGAAACAAGCTCAAGGTTCTGAATCTTCACAAACTAAAGCATGCTGGAACAAGTAGGCTGTGCTCATGGACCGTTACAAGAGAAGATAACTTCTTGAACTTTTTATTTTCCCTCATTTAAGCATTTCCTGCCTAGCATCTTCTGTTATTTTCTTTGAAAGTTTAAATGGAGGCAAGGTTTGACTTTTTATGGAGTTTGCACTTTTCTCGGAAGTGACAGTTTCTTCCAATAAGCCGTACGGTTTATAGTTAAGAAACGTATAAAAACAAAACCTACAATGTCATAAAAACCTCTTAATTTTAATAACAGATACTGCAAGTTATTTACAATAATATTACCAAGAATCGTGTCATCAAAAACTTCCTTCACTGGATATTCAAACACAGTTCATCTATCTTCAACACTTTAGGAAACGGAGGCCTACCTGTTGTAGAGAAGCACGTCTGGGGTCCAGATGTGACTTGGTGGAAGACGAATGTTCTTGACGCCGCCGTAATCAGATTGGTTCCACGCCAGAGTTGGGTCGCTCCATGCCTATGGCCAAATGATACCGGATTTTATGGTCAATCTTCGCGAAGAGTGTTAACTTCATCTTAATTCATAACTGGTGAAGTATACATAACGCGTGTGTGTTACTTATCGTGCCATAGTGTTACATACAAAATATTACGGAATCTTAGCGTATTACGGAGAAGATTTTCATTGCAAGAATTGTGTACTTGCCCTTTCCCTGGCACATTACTTTCTCTCTCCTTGGTGCAATTGTTACTGTCATCGCCATTGTCATAGTTGTCATTGTCATCGTCATCGTCAACACTTAGGAACCTACACATCCACTATCGTCACTGTCCAAAATTACCGCCACTACGACCAACAATCCATATTGCTAACACCTGAATCCCATGATTGTCAACACTGAAAAGCAATCGTTACAACCACAACCACGCATATCACCACCAACATCATCACCTTCGTCCCCCTCATAAACACCATAAATAGTCATTGTCGTTATATGACAACAATCAGCATCAGCCCCGTATCCAATGCCTTCCCCTTCTTTCCTTAATTCTAACCCAGAGCCCTTCATCCCTTAATTCTAACCCAGAGTTGAACGTCCAACAACCCCCCGTCCAAGAAGACATGCGACGGATCACCCCAGGTAATCCCCAGAAATGCCTGCCATAGCAAGCATTGAGCTCTACCATGCAACGCCATTGACCTTGATCAACCGCGTGTATTCAAGATTCACCAAGAAACAACCCAGATACAATGTTGATCACTTTGCCATCAGGTCAAAAACTATGTCCGCAATTCAGGGCAGCAGCACCGGGCAGCGATCCAGCGTGTTCTTGCCAACACAAACCGTGCCAGAAGAGTTTTTGAAGCCACGCGTCCAGATTTCTACGCGCCAAAAAGATGACATATTTTGAATAATGATGGAGGCTGATGGTGCTACGGCTCTTCCATCACGTATCTCTCCTTACCTAAACCGTGCGTTATGTTTATCATGTACCAGAAATGTATTCACTCTGTTGATATCGCGTAAACACTGCTGGAGGCTCTATGAACATTTTACCCTCAAGAAAGATGGATCTCTTCGTTTCAAACCAAAACAAAATGATCTATCCATCTCAATATTTGCTTTCCCTCTTCCCAATATCCCTTTTATTAAAAACAATCTTGTTTGCATCCCATTCAACGAAGATCTCTGTTAAGATCGCAGATCCTGCAGATTTCTAGGTATAATGGTTAGACTGACCCTCGCAGGATCCGGCTGACACCTCTGCCGCAGACACGCAATGAATGCCGTTAAAGAGGCAACACGTACGCGCGGTATCTTCCGTATCCCGGGGTTATAATAATGAATCTCGTCCAAGTAGAGCCGGGTTGCTTCGAGTGAGCATAGCTGCCATGATGAGACTACTAGTAAATATTAGTGATTAGATTCACAGTGATAAGGCTCACTGGTCAATAGATTTTTATAGAACAACTTGGAATCACTAGCTCAACGAATTTATACTCTCTCTCTTTTACAAAGAGTGAAAGACGAAAATCAGTCTTATTTTGGATTGAAACACTCGGAAAAAATCACTGGAATGGAAACTCGAGAGAATACTAGAGCTATTCGGTGGAATGAAATTCAATCTACATTGTCTAGTCCTTATTCTTTCGGTTAGATTGAGTAAATGTTTCACTCAAATAAGTGAATGTTACTCTTTGAAAATTAAACAAAAATCGACAAAGTAACAGGGCCTGATAGTTCGACATAAAGTGCTTTTAAGAAAGATTCTTCAGGTAGGAACATCAGACCCTCTAACTTGTTTAAGTTTTTTGTATATTTCAGGTCAATCCAGTTTGAACCAGATAGTTTAAGTCATTTTTATTTCGATATCAGAGAGTAGAATCATTAAGAAAACTCTGATTCTCTCAAGGAATTCACATGTCTGGAAAGTATGCAAGGAAAAAAAATGATGGGGTCAAGTGCGCCAAACAAGATTAGTGGGCCACACTGATGGATGGGTAACATGATATGGCTATATGGAATGAAAACGAAGAGAACACTATATGAAAGAGGGTACATTTAGGGAACTGTAGAACAGTGTGGCGACCTTTCTATGTACTTACATAGTTGAGCCATGCGTTGATGACTAGAATCTGGTCTTTCTCGTTCTGTATGAGGAAAGAAAAGCAAAGATGTCCTTAAGTAAATACAACTTCCATTCCTTAAAATGTTTGGTTGATTTGACGTTTCTCCTGAATCTTTATAGGTTTTTAGAAGAAAAAACATAACTCACAACACAAAGCACTTCACTGGAGACCAGCTGCATTTCGTACACCTCGTAGTACAAACTGATTAATAGTCACAAAAGTGTTTTTGGGCAGCTCATCCCTCAAACTGGTAAGAAAGAGGCTTACTCGTTCCAATGTCTAGTGAAGATGTCAGTGCCAAGGGATTATATAGTTCATTTATTGTTGATGGCTCAGTTCTAGGAATATCAAGCGTTTAAGACTCTAATTAAATAGGCCTACAGCGTTAGTGCAACAATAAAATCCATTGCTTCCTTCTGCAAGACATTACAGAACTGAAGTGTTGATAATGTCTATAAATACGGAGCGGCACATCGTTTGACATCATTTCGCAATACGCAGCTTTTCAATTTCATTAAAGCGTCTCAGGCACAGTCCAATCTACTGAAGTATTATATTTTGTAAGAACTCGGAATGGAATGAATTTGGTGAAAATGAACAAGAAGAAACTAACATTATTTATAGATACGTAACAAGATAGTGGGACTTAATGTGTCCGCAGGCTACATGTAAATTGACCAAAACTATAGGCCTTAAACTTTTGCTCTGAGTAAATGTTGATTTCTTTGTTTGGTCCATAAGTAAAATCAAGGATTGGAGTTTTTCCCCTTAAATTTATAGATAGGTAGGTACATAAACACAGCATAAGTCCCATAAATTCATGTAGAAGGGAATTATGCTACTTCATGAGAGCAGGCCAATTTTGATCTGCGTTTCGGGGTTTTTGGTTGATGAAATCCAGGCACATGGCGTGGTAGTGATCAGGTCGACAAGCATCACGCTAACCGGTGTACACCATACACCCCAATAAACGTCAATTGATAAACGGCCAGCCGATCCAATCAATATGTCGCGTCGGATTTGCAGCTGGCAACTAGAGGCTTAGACTTATCACCTGGTCTGATATATATTAAACAGGGCTGTACATTCCTTCCAACACATGCAACATGAATATTAAAAGTTAAAAGATCATTCTCATTTTGAGAATATAATATATCGACTAGTGGTTATCTTTTGATCTCGTGTAGACTAAAAGCAACGATTTCAGGACGCGCGTGTGTAAGTTGAGTGGCATAAATTACACAACTATATTAGTGCAAGTTGTGGCTCGACACTGCGTGTATTTCAAATGATTAGTGTACAGTGTCAAGCAGCTTCATTTGGCACTTGGCATTTTTGCTTTTTTTATGGACTGAAAGAGCCAGAAACTGAAACCGTTACTAAGCCTAGTTGGCTGCTAAGTTAGTAAGGTTTCATGAATATGGCCGTAGGACTTTACAAACGGTACTAAAACACTCTCTCACGCTTTTGTTATTACGAATGGAAAAAGGTACTAATTTTCACAGAATGTTCTCGCTTTGTTGCCCTGGCCACCAAATCTCTTAAAATATACCTGGCTTTATCTGTCTTACCATGCTAAACTTGTAACTAGTTACCTCTTAGCGGAGCCAAGATGGCGACTGCGTGATAGCAGCCCATCCGACGTCCTTGAGTGGGCAATCAAGCAAGCATCGACACGATAATCGCGTCAGACCAAATCCCCGATCAGAAACAGAGAGCGAGAGCTCCAAAATCCCCTCTCGATCCCTAAGAACTTGTTGACGGAAGGGAATTAACTCTCCTGCAGAAGGACAGATGATTTCTGGACCGACAGCTGAGCATTTGTTTATTCTTCCCGCAAAATGCACTTTCGTCGAGAAAGTTCTGAACTTTTCAATAACGCAGAGTGAATCTCTCTTTGATATTCCGGCTGAAGTCCAATGCTGAGCCAATACTGAATAAGAGCCACACGTTGCTTGCTTCACCCAATAGAACAATGTATGTCTAGGTATAGTCAAAACAGAGGTTTCGATTGTTCTTTGTCTTTACAAATTGATTCGCTTATATCTGAATGATGCAGTTTATGAAGAACGTGAAATAACAACTATGGCAGATTTGCAATGAAACATGTCACAAGGATAAGTCATGCAAAACTTAGACCTGACTTTCAATTAATCAATTAATCTAATCCAAGTTCGGATGCTCGTTGGGGATCATCATTTTCTTTAAGGGAAGGGTCATTAGCGTTTTGTTCTGGTCAGTATGCTCTGAATCATCATCCATGCGAGGATGCATGTCTTGACAGGGATAGATAAATGCGGGTCGGTTTGGTAAGGGAATACACAGACGAAGTTGGTGTCCTCGTTTTCTGGTCAGGGAACTCAATGGTTTTTCCCATAGTTTTAAACGATAGAAAGGGACTGTTCCTTTTCCTATTTCTGACTGGGTAACATGGGAGATAGCCCTTAAGGGAGGGGGGCGTATACTCCATGCCCCTTTCGTTACGTCACTGACACTAATGGATATAATTATTGGGTTTGTCGGGCTTGCACATAGCTCCCTCATTGTGGACAGGACTTTGTCCCTCTGTAATCGCAAGAGTAGTACATAATAGATTCAATGTCACTAAACTTAAACCTATGGTTGGATAGCTAAGTTGGTAGAGCACTGAAACTGCAATCCAGAGGTCGCAGGTTCAAACCCCGCTCCAGTCAATTTATTTGTTCAACTTTAAAGTATGATGCACCGAGTCAGTTTCCCTTTGTGGTTTTTTGATTCAAACCTCTCCAGGCTGCTCTGTGCTGGATGTCTTTTACTCACCACATTCATGATCTGCTGGAGCATGAAGCCATCTCGACGTCAGTGGCAGGTCTATTGAGTCAGCTGGCAGAGTCAACGCTCGGTGTGGGAACCGCTCACTGTCCAGTAGACGACTGACTAGCTGTCGCTCATGCCATCCTACATGCGACTGATCTGTTGTCATCAGAGAGATCGAGAACAGAAATCGAACTTTTTATTTTTACAAATAGCGTTATTTGGTAATACAATGGGCGGCCACAGTTTACATAATATTCATGTGACCTGTCACCATGAAATGAGCTGAAAGTTGGAAATTGCCATTTTGCAGTACAGCGAGCCAAGATTTGAAGGGATGATCGATTTTTTTTGGTATACCTTAATCTGAAAGTCCTGTTTTACCTTTGTTTGTTTTCAATTTGCTTTCTGTCAAATATTTTTAAAACCTAGTTCATCCTGTCTCCCTTACTGGACTGTTCATTCATTGTATACACAACTGCAAGATTTTTTACCACATCAAATGGTCTATGTTTCCGTTACTGAAGTACCACTTCATGTTACATACCATTGGAAAGCTCTTATTTGCAGAATCCAGATATAAAGGCCTAAATGTCTCAATTCATAAAAAGTCCAAATTATTGCTGAATTTGTGATGACAGGTCGCATATATAATCGTAACAGATTTGTTGGGTGGCAACAGATTATGCCTTTTAGTATAAGGGTGTAAACATTCATGTTCTTGTGCGCGCTTGGTATTGTCTACATATTGCACATTTTATGGTAATTTTAAAACCCTTTGTGGGTTATTCTAAAATTGTGTACTGATGACCGTCCAAACTTTGCACACCACTAGCAAAGGCTACGGCTGTGGCCAGGCACAAAATATCTAAGGTGTTATATCAGGAAGTATTATCAGTCGTTTCATAAAGGAGAAAAGAAGAGGTTAAGGAGCAACATGAGGAGCTGAGAGGGAAAAAGGGCCGAGGGGAGAGGGACGATGCGGTAGATCTTGAGAACATCATTGATAGTAACAGAGTGCAAGGAAGTGGTATAGGCTGAACTTATGGAAGAACAAGTTCGTCTGGTGTCCACATACTGTGAACTTGATTCGCGTGTTGCTCATGTTTTTGAAGTGGAAATGAGAGGGGGAAAGCAAAGAAGACAATTTGATTAATTCGAAACCTATGGGGTTTGTACACAACAAAAACTCAGTGTTCATCATACCATACCAGTTCATGAACTAATGCAACTGGGGTTGAATAATGGCAGTGGGACTATTGATATGAACGACAAATTAAAGCTTTTATCTTTTACTGTAACCCCGCAATCAGGCAAGTTAACTTTCCTTCGATATCTCCTATGCCTTTTTTTTCAGAGGGCAACCTGGAACATTGTGCACAAATTTTATTGCAATATCATTCACGTATCAGAATGGTATTCTGCACCATATAGGCCCTGAACATGCACCGACATCTGAGAGCCAGTACTGTGCAATGGGAAATATGCATGAATAGCCGCAAGGGCCCAGGCTGTTCCCTTCAGCATCGTTGTGCTGTTTATGTATCTTACTGTCAAAATCACCCAGGGAAGACATATTATGACTTGCCAATCGTCTTACATTAACCCAATTCCTCAGTATCTAAGACTAGACTATCATAATGCACAATCTGTAATCTTTTGGCTGATTTCACGTACGGAGCTTAGAGAAGGTTACTGGTAACGATGTAGACTTGCTTAGGTATCAAAGTAAGAATTTGATGTAGATTCTATTTTGATTAATACGAATCATTATACTTTGTGAGATGGCCATATCCCTTAATTGAGATACACGTGATATAAAAAGACAAATAAATCGATTACCAATCACGGGCAACTGCCGGTAATTGCATTAACAAAAAGTAGCGGATGTAATGGGTATTTGAAATAAATTTTATATGATTTTTTTACACAATCTTATATAATTAAATTACAGATGTCAATAATCTGGTTAGTAAACAAAATATTTCCCATCAAGGGCAGACTGTGTAATCCTATAGCCAGACACAATTCTGAAGGATGTCACGTGACATGACCCGACAAGTGACGGCACGGGTTATCAAATCAACACGGTTAATTTGAATGGCAAATTTCACCAGACACCGACGGCATGGACACCCCGATGAATGACCGAACTGCACCAGGCATCCCCTGTATCAGCCCGCCGCGCGTCTCCCATGTACTTGACATTCGAACGGCTTAATTTGGGCCGCGCAGAGGGGGTAATAAAACCTGACAGAAACCAACTATAAATCACTTCTCCTCCGTGCTTCCAGATTCTTCCTCCCCTGACGAATGCTGTTAAAGGGCGCCACAAGTTGGGTAAAACACGTTGGGTAATGTCATTTGCCCGACATCGGTGTGAAGTCACTTCATTGTTCGTTAATTCGGGTAAAAATCGACCAACTATTGACAATAATTTGCGCAAGATGTCGGCAGATGGTATGCTGACCAACATTGGGCAAAATACAAACTCAATTACCCATTTTTGTTGTACAGTGTATGCTAGTTTGAACGAGCATTGTTAAGAAGTCTTATAAAAATAATAGGTTCAAAACTTGGTGTTCGCGGTACGTATCAAGACATTATCTTCCTTATTCGATCCTCAATTAATTGATGTTATGATTTTCCCCGCAAAATCTAACTGTCGTTGTCAACAAACCTTTTAAAATGTCCCTTGCTAGTACAAACAAGACAAGGCCATTAGCAAAAAACAATGGATTTTGCCCCGAATGCGACTTAAATAATGGAACACACCCCAAACTGCAACTCTTTGCCAAGTCTGTCCTCGCAAAATACCAAAATCGTTGACTTTGTTCCGGTGAAAGAAGTCCTTTGTTATCCGCCTGTTCCGTTCCGAGCTATATATAGCATAATGAAGTGGAGATGTTCAGTTGGCAATCTAGATTCACACAAACATGGATCAAATCCCATCTAGTGCCTTTTTATCCGCCTACTCCACCAGCTACAAGGCACTTAGCGAGTTGGAATAATCGACCGTACTCTTGTATCCCAACATCACTCTCCTACCCCCCAAAACAGAGCCCCTCCCTCCCGTATACTGCTACATGTCAGTCGATACAGTCTGGCCTCGGGCGGGCAGGATGGGTACCTGTTCTCGGTGAACGCATCCGTGCATGCATTACACGCATGTATCAAGATGCATGATTAGCCTATATGGCTGGGAGGCTGGGATTCGACCGCCCCCAGACAACATTGAACTTTGATACAGTTTGATCGAATAATAATGAATTTGCGCCCATAAACAGACGAAGTATGTTGTTTGTTTTGGTTCGAACATAAATAAAATAATAATGAAAATAAGAATGTGATCTCCCGCCTTACTAAAGAAAATTATTCTCCTTTTTTCGTTTTGAGAATTTGCAAAAATTCAAAAAATTTCAAAAAACGTAGTTTAAAATAAAAAACACTACTAAGGCGAGCCAGAAAGAACTGTTAATTTGTACTGAAAAAAAATCATAAAGTCTATGCACATATCCGTAATCGATTTTTCAAATTCCCGAAAACGGATCGAGAACAAAGAACTAGTATGAGACCAACCTTCCAAGCACGACGGATAATGTGAAGTAACAACCTTATAAGGGGTTTTGCAGTGACTACAGTGATACATAAGTCTAATGTTACACAAGTTCACAAATTTCACAGTAATGAATCTGTCGCGATATACACGGTGATCACGCCATGGTCTAGTGCGGCCAGCCATGGCATTGCGTACTGCGAGCACGAATGACTGATTGAGGAAGCGAAATGTTTTAGTACATGTTATCGCGTCGGAAATTTAATTTACCGATTTTATATCAAATTACCACATGTACCTGAATGCAAGTCTTCCAGATCACGAATTCTGTGGCCTCTGTTTCTTCACAGTTACTACAGGATCTCTAACATTATTGATCACATAAAGTAGGCTAAAGACCTTAACAGGTTGAAGCTGTTACGAATCCATTATGGAAACATCGATCTAACGCCAACTTAGAATTCATGGGATTGTATAAAAAAAAAAATCCAGGAAAAAAATGATAAACATTTCTCCGAGCACTCAAAACGTGGCAACGCTTTCGAAACATGCGTTCAGAACTGAATACGAAGAATCACCCAAAATAATCGTACCGAGTTTTGGAGGATCACATTATTATTATTATTTTGATGAGAGTCGAGCGAGACAAGATTTAGTCGACACTTCAGACCTTTCATATACTGGAGGACCGCCACCCTTCCAAAAAGATGTGATTGATTGCTCCGATATTCGCACGGACATTACGAGTCCGGTCGAGAGATGCAGGCTCAAGTATTTTAACGAGACGGTTAAGGTTCTGCAGAGGACGGTCTGAAAATGTCAATTACATTCAGGGGCTTCGCCTCCTTGTAAACAAGAGACTTAGAATGCCAGGAACGTACTTCTTGACAAGTTAGATAAGAGGGGAATTTTAAAGATACACTCTTTCTTTCCCACCCCAGGATATCTTATCTTTCTTTCCGAGTGAAAGCACGCATCCTCCAAGTCAATTCCTTTTGTGGTGAGGCAAACATTGGAGGCAAAGCGATGATCCTCTTAGTAAAGAAAACAGCGGACCTTCACACCGACCGACCAACCTGTCATTAACAAAATGTTTCGGAACGTTCCCACGAATTACATACAAAAACATTTCAAAACTTCAGTTGAGTTTCCAACTTGTCCGGGTTAGCCCTAAGGATGCAAACCTTCCTCAAACACTTTTCTCGCATGCCTGATTAATATCATTGAATGAAGCCATATCGTTGTTTTCTTTAGATCAACTATAAGTCCTTCTCTGGGTTGGATGGGAACCACAGATTCATCAGGAAATATCTACGAGACATGATGGTCCCCTACCCTAGCCCTTGCCGAGGTTCGTTTCGCTTCCCTCCTTCTTGTTAAAGTATAGCTACTCCGTTTTGAATGGAAGGTAATAAGCATGACTCGTTCTTAATCACCACGTGCCAATTTCATGCAGCTGCTAAGCACATAAATTTGCTTAGCATAAAAAAAGTCCAGCTTAGTAAAAGCAGGGTACCAGCCAAAACTCCATGTGATTTTCATGCTAAGCAAACAACAGCTGAATACCAATCACAAGCAATAAACATCACATGAACATTTGGTT